TCGTTCTCTGAAAATATTTTTTACCATTACATACAGCAGTCGAAATATACTCATTGTTCTACTTAGTTGCGGCATGCTCACGCACACATATGACGCTATTTGTACAAGTTTAGTAACGGGCACATTGTCGCACGATACAACAATATCACAATCACAATTATTGTTATTCTGAGATGTGTTTTGTTATTAGGACGTGTCCATAAAGTTAAAAAGTGATCAATTGATTTATAATTCGTACGAAAAATAATTTTATTCAACAACTTAACTGTAGGATATCAGAATTAAGCACAATTTTGTGGAATATTCAACGTTAAAAACAAATGTTGTCTAAAACATGTTTACCCAAAAAGCTCAGTGAGAAGCGAAAACAAACGATAAGGACTTGCGATCAAGGCCTCTACCTATCGGTTATCACTTATGTCAACACATGTTTCATTGTAATTGCTGTAATTATCTGGGGGTAATTAGCAAAACAAAATGCAGATTTAATGTGAGTGTGGTTTGAACGCACCCTTTGTATGACGATGAGTTGCGGGTTGCGTCAGAGAGAGGGCGCGGGCGGGCGAGTGGCGGGCGGCGAGCGGAGCGGCGCGGCCGACGCCGGCGCCCCGCAACGCTCGCGCCGCGACCTCGTGCCCACCTCACACGAGACCATTTATACCACACTCAGTAAATTATACCTTGAGTATCATTTTTTACCGACTTCAAAAAAAGGAGGAGGTACTATGTTCGGCTGATTGTTTTTTTTTTTTTTTTTTTTTTTTTTTTTTGTTTGTTCGCGCAGTACTCCGCCGTTTGTGGACCGATTTCGAAAATTTTTGTTTTGTTTGAAAGGGTATACTCCCGAGATGGTCCCATTTCCATGAAGTCAGGATCTGATGATGGGATCCTAGGGAAACCGAGGGGAACTTTCGAAAATTCTATGGAGGAGTAATGCGTCTATTATGTTTTTCAATTACGATTTTTAAACACTACAATTTCATATGGGTTTGGAGTCGACCTGATGATGGAGTCGACAGACAGTCGAGGGATCTCCTCAGCGGTTTATATTAACTACCTTGTGTTTGGGCTTGATTAATTTGTATTGATGAGGACTTTACACCTAAATAGAGTGGGGCTGTCATTAAGGGTCTGATGATGAAGAAGTGTAATTGTTAAGGGAACTCCTCAACGGTATACTGTAACTACCTTGTGTTTGGGCTTGTATAATTTGTATTGATTAGAACTTTGCACCTATATATATTATAAGTAACAAAACGGGTATATGTAGCTTTACACTGAAAATGATAAAATAATAAAATAAAAACTGCGTTTAAAAAACCGACTTCAAAAAACCAAAAACCAAAAACTAATAACAAACAAAAAGTCAAATCTAAAAAGCAAAAAATAACTATTATTAGTACTGATAGGTACCCCCCCACTGATAGGTTAGAAGTCGGTGCCATAAGCTCATATCATAATGATATAACTTAATGTCCACAAAATTGTGAATAAGGTACCTATTAAGGTTTTAATGAATAATTTTGTATTGAACTTATGGCACCGACTTCTTACCTATCAGTGGGGGGGTACCTATCAGTACTAATAATAGTTATTTTTTGCTTTTTAGATTTGACTTTTTGTTTGTTATTAGTTTTTGGTTTTTGGTTTTTTGAAGTCGGTTTTTTAAACGCAGTTTTTATTTTATTAGGTTCATTATCTGAAACTAACAAATGAGCTAGATGACTTTGTGGTGACACGCACAGCTTGAGTGAAGTTGACAGCACGTGATGTACATTGATTGAATCTTTATAAACATTTTTATTAAGAACATATTATGGATCTCTGTGTTCTAATTCTTTACTGATGCTGTCATTTTAAACTTTTATTCTGTAAACTTTGCAAGCTTTCATTATCTTAACATTATATAGAGCTAAGATGGGAATACATTGTTAATAATATTAATTTTATGACATTAAGTTTTTATCAAATAGAATACCGAGTCTATCAATCCTATTTAAATTTTAATCTAAACTCGACCCGGGGAGCGACTTAAACCGATTTTTCATTCTCTCAGACCAATTTTTCAATGTCAGCCAAAGATACCAATTCTTTTATTATGTTATTGCCTGATTGATCACCAGATTAAAAATATTTAAATACATTGAAATTAACTGTTTTCTGCTAATCTAAGAATAAACAAAGCTAGGTCAAGTCGTAATGGTAACAAACTCGCTATTAGGTATGATTATGCATTAACTGACAATGTTTAGAATTGAATACAATATGGCACGTTGTTGTTGCAAATTAATGAACGGTTCGGTATCATATCGAGCGCGATATCTTAATACGAATGTTGTGTACTCATTACTGAGTATTTCCACACGTGACATGAAAGCCAGCGTCGGACACCGGCACCGGCACGTAATCGCACATAACTATAAACTGAGGACTCGCTGATTGTGCCAACTGGCATACAACATTCGTTCCCTGAATCTGTTGTTATATAAATTATACAGTAACACTGATTCTCTGTTTACACAACTGCCGTACGATTCCGGACGAGCCCACTAGACGCAACCGTCGTTCCTGAAAAATGTAATATGTAGCTGAAAAACGTTTGTTTCTTAATGAAATGTTGCAATCGCGGCCGTTTCGCCACATTAAACGAGCTCTCGTCTCATAAAATTATATTTTCTTGGATACTGAATTTAAAATCTACTTCCTCGAAAGACACCTCGGCACGTGTTTTCTCTCTATTTCTTGTGAACATTTCAAACGCCAAGTTTTAACGTGTGACGTGGGCGTGCCGGTCCTCTATCTCGTAAACTCATAACTAACACAACACGGCCACCATGTAAACTTTGGCTCACAGTTTGATTCTGTTCTACTCCAACTATGTATGTACACATTTGTGATTAAACTTAGGTACTGACTTATACATACGCTTCTGCATTTCGTACAACGCACGTACGCCAAATGTACTGAAATATTAAAAAGTTTCAACAACCTGCTGCATAATGCCCACTCGAGAGTCGAGTACGTATACGTGTTATGATAAGTGCTTTCCTAAACAACATAAATGTATCTTGAATCATACAAGAATTTCAGATATCTGAAAATAAATCATTCTTATCGTAAAAATAAAAACATGATCTACCGGTGTCCTACTTCCCTCAAACTATGCTCTTTGAAAACACAATTCAAAGAATTTTACAGTTTCAGTAAACCTTTTTCAAATAAAATCTGATAATAATGGAAACGGGGTCAATATGCCTTGTTCTGTAAATCTTTGAATTATGACTAAGAGATAAAACTTAAATCAACATTAACCTTCATTCTAGTTGTGGTACGGACGATGGTACAGGAAAATATATAACTGTTCATCTTAGTAAACGAGCGTCGTAACTTTCTAATCTCATATTGTCATGGATGCCGCGGCATCTGTCATATTAATTATCAGCTACAGGGTCGAGGGACGTGTCGAGTATATGAAGTGGTCACAAGTTTCCGAGCTCCCGATAAGACATGATATCGTCGCCACTCCCAAACTTGTTTTTACTGTACTGCCAGGAAGTTTGTTACCCAAGTATGCGTGGAACGTAGCTCCTGAGTCGACACTTATTTATTGTTCATGCTGATCATGATTTTTTCCATCAAAAGGAAAGACATTGAGTTCTTTCATTACCGCGAATGTATTCGTCTTGGCAATTTTCAAACATCAGTTTAATGCCAGACGTGGTTTCCGATAGCAATTTGGCACAAATTAAAACTCCTCAATGTACCATGAGTCAATTTTATGTACTATTGGTTTCGATGATCAAACGAGAAACAGTCTATCAAATCGATACACCTAATTATAGATGGCTGTTTCAAAAGAGGTTTAATTAACACACTTTAATAATTACTTCTCATCCGTTTGAATAACCGCTTTCATTTCCCTGATTAAAGAATATTATTCCTATTTAGGCAGTAAAGTGATTTTCGACCAATTAATTAGACGACATTTTAGATAAATAACGGGGTAAAACTGATATATGGGGGATAATAATCTTGCCTAATTAGATTTACGGTATGTACAATACTTCGCTATTACAAATATGATTTTAGATTATAATCCTAAGCTAATACAGTTAATCCAGGAAACAGATAATTCTCAATTTTTTGGACAAAGCGCGTAGTACACACACGACTAACACGACTGCTAATCTATTCAGCATGTATCATTCGAGAAGGTACACAATATGTGAAAAAATGCACTTTATAAGCACCAATCTCGTTTGATTATCGTGTACGTGTTTTAAGTCTGAATCTACATTTTTTGCTTTAAAAGTTTCTATTTTCATTGTTTCAATGTTATTTCTATCTGTCTTAGAGGTAGGTGTGCGAATGTCTTCTTCTTCATTCTTATGGTTTCTGGTCATCTGCCAAGTTCCGCTTTGCTTAAAGGAAGGTCGAGCAATCATTTGTACACATCCTCCGCATTTCCTACATTCAAATTTAAAAAAGTATTCCTGCGACCGCTAACTGAAAGCCTTTAAATAATGGACAATAGACTAAAGTTGTCTTGTTTCCCGCAAAGTTGATAATGCCGGTTCAATTAAAAGACTTGGTGATTAATATCGATGTCGGGAAAATTTTAAATGGCGATAATTATCGTCAAGGTCTTAGCTTTGTAACCACATAACTGTAGCACGCACATCGCTGGTACATATTTATTATGTACCTACGTACATAGTACACACTCTTATGAGTTAAGTGTTAAAAGTTTACTCCCACATTATCAACATCTGTAAACATTTTCACATTTATGTTTCTTAACGTACACAGATAAACACCTTGTCGAGGGCAATGCACTTTTTATAAGCAATTTAATCATCATCAATAACTATCGTTCATTCTCTTACGTGCTCTAATTACTTTAGCGCTCTAGAGGCTTTTGCTAAATACGTTACGTACTTACTACCTATCGTATATTTGTTAATTTTGTAAACTAACAATTGTTTTTTCATCTATTTCAGCTACACTCATCACCGCAACCGCGGGTACCTGCTACGGGTGGCCATCTCCCACATTACCCTATCTCCAGTCACCGGAGAGCAAAATCCCTACTTCACCTGATCAGGGATCATGGATAGTCTCAATAATGATCCTGTGCTCCGCGCTGACGCCTGTTCCCGCTGCTTATTTTGCCGACCGGTTCGGTAGAAAGACCACCTTACTCCTTGGAGCTGTACCATTCATCATCGGCTGGGTGCTAGTCATCGTAGCCAACTCTGTGTCCCTCCTCTACGTGGCACGGATGTTCTCAGGACTGGGCTACGGGATAGTCTACACAGTTGCTCCCATGTACACAGGAGAAATCGCTACCAATCAAGTGCGAGGGGCCCTCTCTACTCTTATCACCTTGATGAACAAAGTAAGTAATGCATCTGTTATGCCATTCGAACGAAATGCCCCGTTTGCATTGTGTTCAGCAAAACAACACATCGCATTATCTGCTAGTGAAACGAATCGTTTTAAACCTAGAGATATTAAAAAACATGAACCATGCCTGCCAGGTGTCGATAAATTATTCATTGCCTTAATGGTTTAGTTTAGTTTATCAAGAACATAGATATTTGAATAACATTTAATTAGATACCTATAAAAAAAATTAAGCGCGCTACTAGAAAAATGTACTCAATGTCTTTATGCGAAACTTTGTGTTTATGATAGATCAATATTAGCTGTAATGAATCGTGATCAAGTTCAATGAAATAATTGCGTAATTTAGTGTCAGTGCAATTACTCAATTTGGATAAGTCCAACTAATAGGCGATATCCTTTGCAATGAACAGGCAGTTCCAATTATAAATTATTTCTAGTTGAGCCAGCTCGGTCTTATCATTGATATTTACATATTGTATGCTCGGTTGCCTGTTTTATAAGCTCGTTTTCTGCTTTGAGAGTTAGATATGCGATTTCTAAATGCTGTTCGTAGAATCGCACGTTGTACGTACTTGTGCAGCCAACAGGTGTACGGTTTCCTTTGTCAGAGTCCGTTGCACTATATACGTAACACTCATCTTATTACGTCGACTATGTCATTCGAGATATTCAAGTTTAAATATTTTATGTCACCTAAACTTTACATACTTAGCATTCGTAGATAGTCTGACAATATACTTATCCTCTCGAAGCAGTCGTACAAAAAAAACCGACATACCTAAACATTTTATCAGGAGTCATAAAATGTTCACGTGATAAGCCAGTGATATTACCATAAAACACATTGGTACAACGTGCAACGACTATCGCTATCAACTATATGGAAAATTTAATTACTCCCGAGGATACTAACTTAAGAAAACATAGTGAAGAGCTATTTTATAATAGAGTTAATAAGCGTGGATCTAATCAAACGCTATTCACTGGGATCTTAGCTATATGACAACAATTTATTTCGCATTGTATTTGCACGTAATTAAGGCAACGTGCACACGAGTCGAGTCGCGACGTAGAACGTGGCTCATTACCTCAATTAACCAAGCGCATGGTTTCCCGCAATTCACATAAATAACGAAACGTAACAGTAATGTTTCGAAAATATTAGGTATTTTTTGTTTACTTTCGAATGAGATTACTAATCTAACTGTAGATCGCAACATACATACCTAATTGTTATTAGCTTTTCTTGTTATAAAATTTATTGCTTTACACTTGAAATTGACGTGTCAGGAGTATTGTATCCATTTAATCACCGTAATGATTTTATCTTCATCATTATAAACCCATATTAAGCTGTCTTATCTTGACAAATAATGATGTAAAGCCATGGTTTATAGCTACAATCGACTAGTCTCAGAGTAGCCGTAATAAAATTTGTCTGATGTGTAAGAACTTGCTTTTTATGGGACAAGCCCGGGACAAGCCCGCCTAACCTCCCAAAACCGCTACAACTCCTGTAAGCCAGGATCTACAGTAGATAGATAGAAATAACTTACTTGTAAAATACTAATTTTCTGTTTTCTTTTCTTCCAGGTCGGAATTCTTGCCCAATACTGCATCGGCCCGTTCGTGTCTATGCAAACCCTTGCCGCCATCAACTTGATCCTGCCTGTCTCATTTGTCATCTCGTTCATTTTTCTACCAGAATCTCCTTATTACTATTTAAAATTTGAGCGGAGTGCGAGAGCAGAAAGCGCCCTGATGTGTCTACGTAGTGGTGACATTAGAACAGAGCTCAAGAGTATAGAACTCAACGTTCAAGAAGACATGAAGAACCGGGGGACATGGGCGGATCTGGTCACAGAAGCTACCAACAGGAAAGCAATGTGGATAACACTTGGCATTTTCACCATACAACAGCTGTGTGGCAGTGCTGCAGTTGTGGCGTACGCTCAGGTCATATTCAACTGCACGACCAGCCCAGTTGGAACAAATCTAACAGCTGGGCTAGAGAATACAACTGTTGCTTCTTCCAGCATACAACCCTACCAAGAGTCTATAATTCTGGGTTGCGTACAAGTGGCCACCTGTGTCCTATCCGTCATACTCGTCGACCGCGTTGGAAGGAAGCCTCTTCTCTTGCTATCGGCTCTTGGAGTTGGTCTCATGAATGGCACCATTGGAACTTACTTTTACTTCGACCACTCCAACGCTGGGTCAGTGGCACACCTGCACTGGTTGCCTCTAGCCGCTCTTCTTGTTTACATCGTATGCTATGCCATTGGACTGTCAACGGTCCCCTATGTCATCATTGGCGAAATGTTCCCCACAAATGTTAAGCTTTACGCGTCATGTATCGCCCATATCTACACTGGAGTCTCCATGTTTGCTGTCCAAAAACTGTTCCAGGTAAGGACACTTTTTATTATCTATCAAACCTTTATTTTTATTCATAAAATCAAAACCAAATTCAAACAAAATCCCATTTATTTTGATAAATATCTATTTTTGTACATACAACGACTGTTCGTTACAGAATAAGATAAAATATTCTGCAACTATTTAACAAACTAGTTTTTCAATAAAATTATACAATTAATTTAGTGTATTTATGTTAACATTGATCTAATATGTAACATTTATTATTCCAGGTGGTGAAAGACGCCTATGAGATCTACACAGTATTCTGGGGATTCGCAACGTTCTCGCTGCTGGGCCTGGTGTTCATGCTCGTCATGTTGCCGGAGACGAAGGGCAAGTCGTTCGCGTCCATCCAGGCGCAGTTGAAGCGGGAGGTGGCACGCGACAACGCTAAGAAACTGGCCACCGTCGAATACTGAAGGCCAGACACTTTGTCTGCCGGATTATTACTTCTCACTAGTTTAGCATAAGCTTTACTTTAATTAAGGGAACAAGCAAGTTGGAATGACAGTTAAGGATATTGATACTTAAAGTTTAATGTAATTATAGCATAGAATAGTGTAACAACGTACAGTTTTCTATAAAGTATTGTAGACACTACACTATTACAAGAGTAGCCTGTGTATGCACAGTAGAGGAAGTATGGAGGGAGCCAGAAGGGCTGCGCCGGAGAAGGCGGTGAAGTCCTCAGGGTCGTAGTCGGTAGGCAGGGCGCGCGATTTGATCACGCTGGCATACAGCTTGGCTGAGTGCTTCGCCGTCCTCGTCTTGTTCGGACTCTTAAAATCAACCAGATATAGACCGAAGCGGGACCTGCAAATGCATTTACAACAGAACTGTGAAAGCGTGAAATAGATATTTCGACTGATTTATGTGTTTTATTCCACACCAAAAAGACGGCTGGCATCGAAGAGTATTCGTATTTTCATATTTTGGATTTAATCTATTACTTTTAACTGATATTATAAAAGTAGACGTTATCTGAATGTGTTAATAAGTACTCTGGTATGATCTTAGCTTATTACATTGAATTATGTAATAAACAGCTAATAAAGCAAGTTGCCTTTATACCTATAAGTCATTAATTTCCAACGAAGTCCTCTGTAGTAATAATAATTGACATTATCATAAAACTGCTGGAGGGGGTCGAAAACTTTAACAAAGATCTCTTCTATTAACCTACAATTTTTATGAAGCATAGTCTATATTAATTTAAAACTATCTATTAGACGAAGCTCTTATCAAAGTAAATAATCATTAGATAAAATGAAAGTCATCAATCATCGGTATCATTCTCGAACGTGCCTCCAGCCAGCCATATGAATGACATTTTTCAAATTGATTAGATTACTGAGAAATTATATGTTCGCTATGTAGGTCAATAAAAATAGTTCTCAATTCAGAAATGGGCGACTATGACGCAAACAGTGGCTGAGGCATGCCATTTTAAGTGAAACTGATAAATGAATAGATAGTTTATATTTTGTATCATATTCTGAAAACTATTTTGAACCGACTTGGCTACATTTTCACATTCATATTTTTAAGATACCTCAAAATAGATCCTTAATCCTTTTTCCTCCTATCATATTAATGTCTTAAACTGAAAGAAACGTTTAAGTCATATTACTGCAATTTTAGGAATCAACATTTTTAGAACTGTCTGCAAATAACTGCCTCGTTGGCCGAGTGGTCGTAAGTGCGACTGCTGGGCAAGGGGGCTCGGGTTCAATTCCCGGGTTGGGCTAAGTAACTACTGGGTTTTTAAAAAAATCTCAGTAGTAGCACGGAGTCTGGAATTGTGCCCGGTATATGGCAATTGGCTCATCCCCTATTATATGGGACTCATAACATATAGTAAATAGGGAAAAGTGGGTGTTACATTGTACAATGGCATAATGTGCACCTCTACCTACCCCTTTGGGGATAAAAGGCGTGATGTTATGTATTTAGCTGCCATGACATTCATGGATCTAATCATAAAAACACGCCAGTTAGGAGTGCTTTGCACCTGTCTACTGCATAGTGTCGGTAAAATAATCACGCCTCAAAAACGCAACGAACATATAAACGCAAGTCATTGCTTTATCATTTTGTTTTCACTAGTCATTTCAAAATCTTAAAGATAATCTACAATTTTGCGACTGTGTGATGACACCTGTATAAAATAAGTACCTACGAAATGATAAGGTGTAAAAAATAGAGTGAATCACCTAATTAAAAGGGCGTTTGGGGATTTTTTGTAATTTTAGTTTATAAGTAAGTCTTGTCCTTCATTCATTCAGATAACGTCATAAATAATTATAATAATCGCTGATTCCTGGAGCTAAAACCTTGTGAAGATAAGACTAACAGCGACCTAGAAATAAATCTAGGCATCATCAACAAAAACCTATAAATGCCCACTGCTGAACAAAGTCTCTTCTCACACGAAGAAGGTTTGAGTATTAATCGCCACACTTGCTCAATGCGGGTTGGCGATTACAGACTTAAAATGTACATATAACTCGGAAAAATCACATTGGTACTTGACGTAGGTAAGTTTCGAACCCACACCCTCATGCATGAGAAGCGGGCGTCTTAAACCTCCGGGCCACCACGACACATTTAAATCTAGGCTTAGTAATATTTAAGTTGTTTAAAAATAGCCTGTCTAGGCACCCATACACCTCTCTAATAACGAACCCCGAAGCTCAATCATCAGGTCTTAGAATTACTTAATAGTAAAGATTACTTAGGTATAGGTAATGCCTGGGTACCTAAATAGATTTCTTTACCCATACCTACAGAACGAGTCACGCTGAGTGACATGTGTTCGATTTTATCACTGCCAAAAATATAATGATACCCATGATGAAACCTACTGTCTTACTACCAAAGCTAAAGGATTTATCTAGAGACCATTGAACTCTGAGATAGCAATATAATCTCTACATAATGACAAGAACTCATTAAACTCTACTCGGGAAATTAAGTCAGTAGCGCCATCTAGTATGAAAATGATAAAATTATCAAAGCACTAACGTGACAAAAAATATTAGTTACAAAAGACACCAATAGATGTCGCTTCTTGTCTGCACGAAGGATGGTTAGTAAAATATAACTACAAACTACAATGATTAATTTTCTATTAAAGTAACTATTACTATTCTATGATTGTTGAGTCAAAGTAAGTTTAAGACAATATTTATACACCTAGATAAGCCTTCAGACATTAATCTTGGAATCTACGAATAATAACGACTAGATATACCTACTAGGTATTTACCAAGGTCTGGTAATATCTTCTTAGTTCAACATTACCATTAAAGCTCAGCTAATAATGGAGCGGTTTGTCAAGATAAACACGTAATAAATTGTTATTGGAACAATTTTATGGCCCTTTATGTCTCGTACCAAGACAGGATTATTCTTCGAAATAGTCATTACTCCTTGACACTACAAAAATAACTTTATTTCTCTTTGATTTTTTTCCATTACGTAAGTACAACCAAAAGAAAGATGACTTTAATATTTGATTTGACGACTTAGGAATTCTTAGCGAAGTATAAGTATCACACTGAGATTTTTAGGGTCCTCAGTTACATCACAAGATTTTTTTTTTTTTTTTTGTTTAGACTAGACCCATTCCTTACGAGTAAATTAATATTGAACTAATGAACTATTTGGCTTACCTTGATTTACCAAAAATGAAAGGTATATTTAAAGCTGCGGGTTCTTTAAAAAAGTAGGATAAATACTTACACGTATCCATCATCCCATTCGAAGTTATCCATCAAACTCCACGCGAAGTATCCTTGGACATTGCTCTTGTCTTCGTGTAAGGCGTGAAGCAAGGCATTCAAGTAATGACTGTAGTACGCCACTCTCGCTTTGTCCTCTAAACCAGAGAAATCAGCGTATCCATTCTCAGTGACTATTATAGGGACATTGTTATAAGTCTTCGTGATCCATTTTAGTAGTCGTCTGAAGCCGAAAGGCACCACCTAGACAATAGAAGGCAAATTTATAGTCACGTGTTCATGAATAGAACGTTTGCGGTCGTGAAATAGAATAGCACATAATTCTTACCATTCACTGTTGGTAACTAAAATTTTATTGTTTCAAATCTTTCTGTGATGATTTTAAAATACCTGCTTACACTAAATTGTTCGGAAAATGAACATAAAGTTGGATAGAGATAGAAACATTCACAGTTATTGTATGCTTTAATAGTACCAGGTACTCATGCTCATACACGAGTGTTGTTGTCTCAAATGATTTAAAAGGATTAGTTTTTATTGTAATAAAGCTTACTATTGAGAGATTTTCTTTGTAATTAAGAACATTGTAACGATCTAATTAGATAAAACAATGTTGTATAACGTGACGGATTTTTTTAATGATATTCCCACAAACAAATGAAGTTAGAACAATGTTCCTTATATATATTAGAAGTAGAGTTTAAAATTAAATAATAAGCTATTACATGTGACTTTTTTATAGCATAAGCCGGTAAACGAGCAGACGGATCACCTGATGGTAAGCAATCGGTGTCGCCCATGGACACCTGGAACACCAGAGGCGTTACAAGTGCGTTACCGGATTTTTAGGGATTAGGAGTTTGAGGATCGTTGGGGATTCAGGGATTGAGAAGATTGGGGAAGGGGAGGGTAATTGAGCCTCCGGTAACCTCACTCACACGACGAAACACAACGCAAGCGTTGCTTCACGTCGGTTTTCTGTGAGGCCGTGGTATCACTCCGGTCGACCCGGCCCATTCGTGCCGAAGCATGGCTCTCCCACACTTAAATGTGTTACATTGTACAGTGGCATTAAGTGCCGTAATGTGCACCTCACCTGTGTCTTTCCCTTCGGGGATAAAAAGCGTGTTTAAATAAATATACCTGCAATACGTACCTTAAGCCAAGATGATGACGAATCGGAAGGCCATTTCGGGTCTTGAACTCTGATGATGCCAACATCGTTTTCGTGGGAAGGTACAGCACCTACTTCTTTTTTGGCCATAGACAGAAGGTAGGTGGTGTAGTGGTTCAAACCAAAGAAGTCTGCAGTTCCCTTGATGTAGTTCACCTCTTCAGGAGTGAACTTCGGGAGTCGGGACCGAGTGTAGTTTTGTTGTAGACTCTTCTCATCGACTAACTTTATAAGTTCGGCGGGGTAGTTGCCCTGCTGCGAGTAAACGGGATGCGCGTACCAGCCCAACTGGAACGCCAAAATAATTATTGCTTAAAAAAGTTGACGGTTACTGACGTCTTTGTGATGACATTGAAATATTAATTTAAACCAAAATATCATAAAGTACAAAATTGTATAAAGATAACTTCTCTTCCGTTTTTATATAGTTACGTTATCATTGCGATTATCAGTTCACATACGTCTTTACACTTGAAATAATAAAGTATATAATTCAGTGTACTTGAATAGTATTTTAATAGCACTTTTCGACTTTTTTCGCTCGGTGTGAATCATAACATTTTCCTTGATTCCAATCGTAGCTAAAGGTCACAAAAAATGAAGACCAATATAAGGACGCACGTTACCTCCTCTGAATCAGTAGAAAAGGGCTCATACCGAGCGTACGCAAATTGTGACCTTATTCCAATTACACTTAGAATACCAATCAGCTTTAGGTTGACTTGATTGCAAGCAAAAATACTTTGCGTACATAACGTAGACACTAACAAGGTTCAAGATCTTTGTTACTAACAATAGTGATATGGACAAAATGTATTATTTTTATTATAACGAGATAAGCACCTCAGTTAAGTATGACGCTAATATGCCATTAAACTTTATATTACACTGTCCAATGTTGGGGTCTACAATTTAAAAAAAAAATGCATTTCAATTTACTCAAATCTGACATTGAAATATCCTTCGGAATGACAAAATGTTCAGACATTTCAGACAAAGGTTGTTTTGTTTTTTAATGTCCGTGAAATTAGTGGGTACAGTTGCAGCAAAAAAATTATTAAGTAAAAAGCAACTCACGTGTGTCTTTAGGTATAATTCAGCAGCTTGTCTATCTTCTGGCGTGTCCTCTTTTGGTTCGGCCCAGTTGGAGTCCAATGACAGACCAATTTTACCTGAAATCACAGGAATTGTAGGTCAATAACTTGTCTGAAGCAAATATTAATTTCAGAGTTGAATAGTTCAATAGTTCATTCACACCTTTATTGACATGACGGTAATTTTGGTTGAAGAGGTGGTAGACGCTCGCGTGGGCTTTCAAAAGATTGTGTGCGCAGAGGTATTCAGCAATACCATGCCTGTTCAATGCGGGCGCTCGGTACGTGCCACCGTACCCTTCCAGACACGTCTGCATCGGCTCATTGAAAGTCACCCAGTACTTCACCTTCCCCGCAAAAGCATCGAACAAAACTTTCGCGTAATCCGTATAATAATCAACAATATGGGAGTTGGTCCATCCTCCTATGTTCTGTAGTTTCTGAGGCAAGTCCCAATGATATATAGTCACCATAGGAGTAATATTGTACTTCAGGAGTTCGTCAATGAGATTGCTGTAATACTGGAGACCTAAAGCGTTTATCTGGTTCGTGAGACCAGTGGGTAAAATCCTTGGCCATGATATAGAAAATCTGTACACGTTCACACCGAGTTCGTGAACCATTTCGGCGTCTCTCTTGTATTGGTGGTAGGAGTCTGCTGCAACATCACCGTTGGATCCATCTTTGACAAATGTTTTATTGGTATGCACGAGATGATCCCATATACTTTCAGACTTCCCTATAAAACAAATACAAAACAACATAAGAACAGGTCATTCATGGATTTAGATACAGTTTTACTAAAAATCTAAAGCAATTTATTAAATGTCATACCATCTGCGTCCCATGCACCTTCAATTTGGTACGCAGCCGTTGATACTCCAAATATGAATTCTTTGGGGAATGTGTAATTAGATTTTAATCCCCCGGAGAAGTTGAGGATTTCGGCATTTCTGTAAACAAAACATTAAGTAGAATGAGTTACTAAGTTAAATAACTTGGAAACAAGTTCGAGAGATAAACGATAAAAATATTACGTATTACGGAATATGGTAATCGTCCTATAGGAAGCGGAACTGTATGAGAATTCATTGTAATTTATTACAAATTGATATAGGTATCATACAATTATAATTGTATTATCACCTGTACTGAACAGGACACGATTTGTACCGTTATGTGTTGATAGTAACTATTCAAGTAATCGTATTAATTATTCCGATTGATTCAGAAATAAACAGATAAATAACCGAATTGTGGTACCTACATTTATTTATAGATATTTTATACAGATACTTATTATATTAGAATTGTATTAGTAAATAGTATCACTGACCCTTGCGACCACTCGACTAATGACTGCCTCATTAGTCGAGTGGTCGCAGTGGTCTCGGGTTCGGTCCCGGGTCGGGCAAAGTATTACTGGGTTTGCTAAAAATCTCAGTAGTAGCACGAAGTCTAGAAATGTGCCCGGTATATGGCAATAGGCTCACCCCCTATTACATGGGACTCATTACATAAAAAGTGAAAAGTGGATGTTACATTGTACAGTGGCATTAAGTGTCATAATGTACACCTCTGGCTACCCCTTTGGGGATAAAAAGGCTTGATGCTATGTAAATAGTATCAAACATTAGACGGTTCTACCCTAGTAGTATTTAATATACTAGTAAGTAATGCTGGCAATATTCAAATCCAATATATATACAAGCAATGATTTGTAGAGTCCGGTTATTGAAATCAGGAACTTAATATTAAGTTACGGCTATAGCGAAATTTAAATTTCGGGCAAAATTCGTAAATGTATTATTATTTTAAACTACTTTTATCTAATTACAAATAACATAACATCGCGCCTTTTATCCCCGAAGGGGTAGGCAGAGGTGCATATTGTGCCACTGTACAGGCTATGGCTATATCCGTTGCAAAAGAGACAAAGAGTGTAGGCAAAACAAGCAATTCATTTAAATGTATTGGCTAGTTCCGGATTATTAATAAATATAATTATTAGATTCTGCCAATAGATCCTTATGTTGTTTACGGAATTCACAAATTTCTGAGAAATCAAGATTTAATATTATTGATTTATCAATTTACAATTGTTATAATAATTGTCTTTATTATTACCTGTTACATATGTAGGTACTTTATGGGAGAATTAGTTGATTATTTATCCACTTTTAATTGATGGTAAGTATATTAGTAATTCAAACGTAGGTATCTATCTTACAGGCTGCAGCCTAGGTACAATTTTATTATACATATATACTTTGCTATAGATATGTGTGATGTAAATATCTATTGGACAGAGGAATTGGTAAGGGTAAGGCTGCATTGGTGAATGTAAAGAAACTCAGTTTTCTTCGTGGTATTTCGATTAGGTAGGTAGTCAGTTGAAATTGTTGATTGTCTCATAAAGGAACCAGCAGGTACATAGATAGATACAGCGTAGCATGCAAATTCACACAAACAAATAATTAATGTCCAACCCGACTATATTGACGTCATCATTATATATTATTACGCGTTCTTAAGAATTTTCAACTTTTTGTCTTTAATTTGCGTATGAATAAATTGTAAAATAGATAATTTTTATTTTTTATTCATTTTAGTATGAGATTTTTATCACATACGCTCGTTGATGTTAGATAGTTAAAAGGGAACGTAATTGTGTTTGTTTATTACAATTTAATTAACTGACTAATCGTGGTGGAGAGTTGGAGACTTCTTTTCAGACTTTAAAAATTATTGCATTGTGTCAACAATTTTTATGTTGACTAAACCTAACCATCCTTTATAATTATTTCATTAATAAACAGATATTAAACCACCAATTATGTGTCATTAATACCTATCTTTAGATTAAGATAACAAAAAGTCTTAACGAAATAAAGGTAGTTATAAATTTTGACAGGAATAAAAAGAACACCGCCATGTTTGCAATCTTAGTATACACTCCAAATTCGTAAAGACAACATCGTATCGGCAAGCTCAGATGTTTATAGTTTATCTTTATATATATAATTCTGCTGTACGTGTGTATGTCATTGAACTCTTCCTGAACGGCTTGACCGATTTAAATGAATTTTTCTGTATGTGGCGCCCTGGATGTTTTAGATTCACAAATCAGCCCGGCAGATGGCACTGCAGTCAAAATCTAGGTTATTTATCTATACCTACTATTATATTATTATTATTATATTATATGCAGGACAACGTCTGTCGGGTCTGCTAGTACCATTATATAATACTTCAGTAGACATAAAAAATATAAACGAGGCGGTATAAGTAAATAGAGGTTTTAATCACACGGAGAAACCTGGGATTTTCCCAAGAAGTATGCCAGACCAGTGCAAACTGTGCATAACCGGAATTACTGAATGAACCCAGAAAAAGAACACTAAAAGACTTTCCATGTAATAGAAAACGTAGAACCTTTCTCATTCCTATCTAGAACATAACATAAATTTTCAGAATAATACTAGAGAACAATTTGTACAAACTGAAAAGGATTTTTGGGCCAATACAATAAAGATGAGATCGCTTTGAAAGGACCGAGATTACGAAGGAGTATTGAACTTTAGATTTAGTTCTGTCATTTACCCGAATACAAAGCCTAAAATTGGATATTGATATAATCAAATTTATAATTGGCTTGCCTTTTGTCTTAAAATAATGTTTAGGCATTTACAGCAAGTTGATAAACAGCTAACTAAATAATCATTATTAATAAAATACTTACATGTATCTATCTCCATTAGGGCATTCGGTGTATAGCAATATACATAAATTAACTCGTCGAGTACCGGTTTTATAGACACAATTAAAGAACAATAGGTCGCGGTCACCGGTGACCGCTTGGTGTTTGACAGTTTAAGAATAAAAAGAAATATATTCGTAGACCGAGACCCGAATTTCTAAGACAATTCGAGGTAGTGTTGTGTTTACAGATTAAAATAGTGAAGAAATTTCATATCCCGGACCAGCTAATTCAATTTGAGAAGATAAAGAAATTAAGCAAACATTGACTCTTAACTATATACCTAGTTATATATATATATATGTATATAGAGTTGTGTATAAGATAGTATGTATGGCGTTAGTCTAATAGGATAACTCGGTAAATATCTAAAACCTAATGATCTTCGAAGATTAGAACATAATGCGATAATGGTGTAATAAAATTATACAATAGATAATGGATTAACGCTTCGTAGAACTGTTTGTTTGTAGAATTTCTTGTTATGTTTGAATGAAATAAATGAAACGTTTACTTTTACATATATTTACATTATAATAATAGAGGACTTTATAATAGGATGAAGGCTCATAAGGGAGAATAGTAAAAGAAGATGTGTGACTGTCTGTGTCGACCCTGACTGACTAAGCTAAACGAGAATAGCAAGAAGAAGAAGACAATAGACGAAGTAGCTAACCTAACCTACAAAATAAATAGAAAATTGGTGTTATTTAATCAATTCCCGTCAGTGGCAACATCACCTAAATAAACTGTTATCTATGTATTGGAAAATATTTAAATAACGTAACGGTATCAAAAACACTTGAATCTTAGTGTTAAACTTAACAAATTTATGTAAAAACATAATTATTTAAGCAATACAAACTAGCTATACCATCTTCTTATATACAATGACAAAAAAACAATGAGTAGGTAAACTACAATTTCTATCAAGCTCTTAAACACTCTACATCAATCAGCTTTGGCCACTAACTGAGCTAACTGCACTAACATAATCAATGTTCATTGAAAAAACACACATTTCCTGTTGCAGAGGGTTGCAAATTGCAATGAACTACAAGATGAACAAGTCATAGTCTTTTTAATTGGATAAAATCTTGTAAATTCAATTAAAATCCTTGGGAAAGAGAATAATAATATCTAATATTATTATCTTAATTTTATAGTGGAAAATATATGTTATTTTTGAAAAAATCTACGTTTTTGCACATTTAAATGGAATCATTAACATTCCGTTTGATCACCCTGAAGTTAACTGCATTAATATGACGCATACTTCACTTCCGTTTTTCGTAGACGTCTCAAATGGAGCAGATATTATTCAAGTACAAACTTACCATGTATGAGACATTAAATGGCTAATGAATGTTTACATATTAGGAGACGATAATCATATGTTTATTATTAATGTTAAATAATGATTCATTTATTTAATATGGCGGTGGTGATGACAGCTGATTATTTATGATACTTTTATCGATTAATTATTAAAAAATATTTTATTATTATGCTAAAGATAGGTAGTTTTAGAGGTTATTTTCATACGAGTCCTCGACATTCTACTCAAAACTCGTGAAAGGTAATAAAAACATTAAAATAAAAGCATTCACCATTTAAGTGACACAGTCAATGTAAAAGTGATTAATAAAATAAATCAAAACGAAATGAATTAAAATATTTTATCTGTCGTAAATTAATCGCATGTATCAAATAAATAAATAGCTTTACTTTCCCTTTTGTTCAATGTCTTTTGATAAGTTAGTTGCGCAAGACCTTTAAAGGTGAGGCCCTTTCTTGACTTATTATTAAAATATTGTTCAACTGTGTCATTGTCAATGTGAAGTTGCTACCCAGTTTCCGCGAGGAAAACCTTCGTGACAACCGGATCAAGATTTTTACGGAACACTAAATGCATTTTATCATTTCCAAGTACTGCGATACCCTAAGGCTGAGATATATTACAAAAGGCAAGGTTTTGAAAGGTAATTGTGTTACTAATTATACACCCAAAGGTTCGTATTATGCAATAAAATTTCAATATTTTGTATATAATTGCTATAAAATGTAGGTAATGTAAGTACTGTTTATCTGGAATTAACGCTAACTGCCATTTATTTTATTATTCAAGGTGGCATGATTAATTGTTCTACTAACCCTAAACTTGCTGTACCTATCCGATTTACCTACTTACAT